CCATCAGCAGAGCAGGGCGCGGCCGGCTTCTCGGGCACCTGCTTGCCCTGCTGGCCGGCTTCTCCGCGCGCGACCGCCTGGAGGGCGTCGAGTCCATTGGGCGGCCTGGGTGTCGAGCCGAATGCCGAGCGGAGGGAGGCGTGGCCCACGGCCGCCCGCTACTGGCGACCGGACGCTGGCTTGCGCCGGCTACTGGCACGGCGGAAGGTTTCGGCTCACATGATCGAGGTGTTTGTCGTCCACTGTGCCAGTGTTTGTCTCCTCGTGCGCCAGACCATTTAAGTTTTCCACGCCGCGTGCAAGTTCGCGCGGGCCACGCCCCCGGGGCCCTCCCCGACGCGGTCCCAGCAGCTTCCCTGGAGTGGCGTGGTCGACGCCAGCGACGCCAGTGAGACGGTTTGGGGGAGCTGCTCGACGCGGTGGGGGGCCGACGTGGCGGCCTTGCATGGGCGCGCGCCCGAGAGGCCTAGGCATCGCTTGATCTCGGCCTCAGCCAGGGGCCACGCTCTGCAGCTGCATGGCGGAGCTCAGGGGTCTTGGGGATGACGGCTTCGACTTGCATGAGGAGTCCTTCGAGGAGGTCGCCGTTTTCCCTGAGATCCCGCGCGGGCTGTTGGAGGGGCGACTGGCGAGTCGCGCATCGAGGCCGCTGGGGATCGGCAGAGCACATCACCTTGCTGGAGGCCCGTGCGGCAGTTGCCATGCTGCATCGGGGGGCGCGCGCCCGGCCTGGGGCTTGCGCGCGCAAGCTTTATCTCGGATACAATCTTGGCATGGTGCTTGCTTTCGAGCGGGCTTGGGCACGAGACTTTGCAGTGTTGAGCCATGTAAGAAAGCGGTGTGCGATCTGTTTCGCAAGAGAGATTCGACCGGCGATCAGATAGATACCCTCAGAATGGAGCGTTCCCGACGAGCATTCGAGGGGCCCCGGAAGTGGCCCCGCCCGCTCGCTGCAGCCGCTGGGCGCGAGCTTGAAGCTGGAGCTCGAGCGATTCCACCGACGGGGCCGCCCGCGGCGGCGCATGGGCAAGCGGCCGCCGGCGGACAGCATCGAGGCGCCGACAGAGCACGGGCGACAGCGCGTGCTGACCGCTGCAGCTGGGGCGCCGTCGAGCCGGCGGGCTGCCTCAACCGCGGCGGGGGCCCAGCTTCGGGCGCTGACCAAGACGGCGCCCCTCGCCTCACTGACCCCGCGGCTGCGTTGCAGGCCAGCGAGGCACTCCGAGGACCTCGACGAGAGCGACGGGGGCGGGGCGACGGACGACCGCCACTCCGAGGGGGCCATCGAGAGCCAGTCCAGGCAAGGGGACCGCAACGGCCCTGCGAGGACGAGGCGACCCGAGAAGGGCGCCAACTGGGACCCCCAGCTGGGCATCGCTCACCTGAATGGGGAAGAGCGCGACGCTGAAGGTGATATAGGATTACCGGCGTCGCGCGAGGATCGCCCTGAGCTTCGCGAGGAGACGGGGCCTGGCAGCCGACGCGAGCGAGGGCGTCGACCAGATGCTTTCGCACCTCGTGAACACGAGGTACCGCGATGGGGAGCACAGTAGTTATTGCGCGAAGCTCGCGGCGGCGCGGATGGCGATATACCCCGAGCTCGGGAAGCGCGGGGTGGGGGAGTTGCCCAGGAGCGGCCGCGTGCTGACAGCCTGGAAGAAACTGGCCCAAGGTCGGACCAAGAAGCCTGGAAGAGACTGGTCCCCGTGGTGGCGGGCCTGGTGGGCGCGCTGATCCACCTGGACGAGCTGGAAGTCGCTCTGTGGGTGCCCCCCGCCTTCGGCTTCTACCTCGGGCCGTGCGAGTGCCTGCGGATCCAACCAGAGGACCTCGTCCCGCCTGCGACGGGGGCGTCGAGCCGCTGGAGGCTGCTGCCAGCGCCAGAAGAACGCGGAATGCCCACGCGACGACAGCCTGCTCTGGGATACGACCCACCTGCACTTCATGACGGGAGTGTTCGGGGTGCTTCGCAAACGGGACCTCGGAAAGCTTCTCTGGGCGCTGAGCTGCCCGCGCGCGCTGCGGGCCCTGCGGCAGGCGTCCAAGCTGATCGGCGCGGAGGCGGTGCCGCATCACATGAGGCACTCGGAGCCGAGCTGGGGGAGGCTCAAAAGGGCGCGGGCGCTGGGGCAAATCCAGAGGAGAAACCGCTGGGCCTCCACCAAGATCCTGTTGCACTACGAGGAGCACGGGAGGCTCGCCGCGCGGATGTCCGAGCCTCCCGAGGCCCGTCAGGCTTGGTTCAGGGATTGCGAGGCACGCGTAGGGGAGTGCGTCCTGGGCTCCAGGCCCGCGGCGCGGCCTCCGCCGCCGTGAAAGAGGGTGTTTTCTTGGATGTGTTCTCTGTTTCGGGTGGCGCGGCCAGAGCTGTGAAACCGAGGGCTTAAAAGCAGTCGAGCGGGGCCGAAAGTTTGAGGGCTCCTACGACTGAGCCAGGCCCAACCATGTGAGAATAATAAAGAAGATGCTCAATGATGGTGAGATGATCGCCAGTTGTCTAGCGTTTCCTGGCTCTGGCTTCTCCATTGCGCGAGATAGAACGATAATGAGCAGTGAGAGCAGCTATCCTTGGGGACTGTCAGACCTGCCTGAGAGTGAACAGCTGAGAGATGTCGAGGGCAACGTTTTTTTGAAGGATATCCTTCAGATTGTCCGATGTCTCAACCGTTGTTCGGTGCCCTGGGCTAGGGAAAAGCCGCTAACCAGTCGCAGGTGGTTAACTCCCCAGGCCCAGAAAATCACAAGCCTTTCTTTTGCACGTGATGTGATTTGTGATGTTTGCCTGATGGGACCCCCCTGGAGACAGAGGGCCCGTATTGTTGTTGGCAAGTCATGAGCCCAAGACTTGGAGAAGCTTGCTGCCATGCGTTGTGTAGGCCAGCGGGCGGAGTGCTCTCGCACCCACCGCCCGCATTTTCATCTAACGGGGGGGGGGCTGGAGGACAGAGGTGGACAGCCATCGCCCAGCCCTACCCCCCAAAGTTGAACTGTCTGCTTGACTCGGTGAACAGGCCCGTGCGGGCCGGCAGCCGGGCCGGGCCAGATGGGGTAACTCTTCGCGTTTCGGGATGCCCGAGTGCTAGCGCTATGGCCTGTGGTCTGAAAGCTTGCACTCCTGGGTGCCGAAGCGGCCCGAGGACCCACGCCGCAGTTTGGACAGCGTTGCTTTCATTCAAGAAAGATTGTCCACTTCAGAGAGAGAAAGAAAGACCGTGCGCGCACGGGGTTGAACGGGATCGTCTTCGGGTTCGTTGTTGCATCCATGTCTCTCCGCAGCTGCTTACTCTCAAGTTTCTCGCGGCCCAGTGCCAGGCCCTATCTATGATGCCCCTTTTTTTGGAGATTTGAGTGGCTGCAGCGTCTTCGGTCAGGCTAGAACGCCCGCAAGCGGGCCGCCACCATCATCGATCACGCCTCGGTCGCCCCTTTTTCACTCTGACACACTCCCCGTTTGGTTGTGGTCTGAAAACTTTTACTCCTAAATGCCGAAGCGGACCAGGGATCCACGCCGCAGTTCAGTCAGCGTCGCTTTAATTCAAGATAGGTTACCCCATTCAGAGAGAGAGAGAGAGTGCTACCAGTAATGATGAGGATGCTGATGCTGATGATGATGGTGATGCTTGACGATGATGATAATGATGATGCTGCTGCTGCTGATGATGGTGGTGGTGACGAGGAGGAAGAGGAGGGTGACGACGACGATGATGAGAATGAGGATGAGGATGCCTATGAGGATAATGATGGTGATGATGCTGATGCTAATGATGGTGATGATGATGCTGATGATGCTAATGATGATTTTGCTGACGATGCTGATGATGACGATGGCGATGACCGATGCTGATGGCGATAACGATGGCGATGACGATGACGATAAATATGACAATGATGATGCTGCTGATGATGATAATGCTGATCAGATTATGATGATGATGACAACGAAAACGATGATGATGGTGATGGTGATAGTGATAAAGATCGTGATGGTGACGGTGATGGTGACGGTGATGGTGACGGTGACGGTGATGGTGATGACGACGACGACGATGACGCTGCTGTTGCTGATAATGATGATGATGAAGGTGCTGTTTATGTTGATGATGCTGACGATGATGCTGACGACGATGATGATGATGATGATGATGATGATGATGATGATGATGATGATGATGATGATGATGCTGATGATGATGATGATGATGATGATGATGATGATGGCGTTGATGATGATGCTGATGGTGATGATGACGGTGATGGTGATGATGCTGATGATGATGATTATGATGATGATGGTGATGATGATCATAATGTTGACGATGGTGATGATGATGATGATGAGGAGGAGGAGGAGGATGCTGATGCTGATGATGATAATGATGATGGTGACGAGGAGGAGGAGGAAGAAGAGGAGGAGGAGGAGGAGGAAGACGACGACGAGGAGGAGGAGGAGGTGCAGAGGGATTGTGATGAGGATGAGGATGAAGATGAGGATGAGTATGATGATGATGGTGGTGATGATTATGATGAAGATGAAGATAAATATGATGATGATGATGATGATGATGATGATGATGATGATGATGATGATGATGATGATGATGATGATGATGATGATGATGATGATGATGATGATGATGATGATGCTGATGCTGATGCTGATGCTGATGCTGATGCTGATGCTGATGCTGATGCTGATGCTGATGCTGATGCTGATGCTGATGCTGATGCTGGTGGTGCTGGTGCTGATGCTGATGCTGATGATGAGCAGGAGGAGGAGGAGGGGGAGGAGGAGGAGGAGGAGGAGGAGGAGGAGGAGGAGGAGGAGGAGGAGGAAGAAACCACGATGACGACGATGCCTGTTCATCCAAGTCCGCGTAGCGTAACGAAACAAGTAAAGGAAGCTCGAGGAGGAGGATGAGGAGGAGAAAGTTCGAGGAGGATGGTCGAGAAGGAGGATGAGGAGGAGTGGGAGCACGAGAGGAGCTGGCGGTCCCCACCAGGCGGGGATGCTGACCTTCATCGCGGAGTGGGGGGACCGCTCGCAGATCGCCACCTTCACGCTTGCGGCGCTGCTCCCTCCCTCCCGGCCTTTTGCCTCCCCTCACCCCACTTTCCTTTTTTGTTATGTTTTCTTCTCCCTCATTCCTCCTGCTGCTCTTCCTCCTCCTCCTCCTCCTCCTTCTCCTAGTCTTCTTTGCGTATACGCTGCTCTACTTTTCCATTCCTCGTCGTTGTCTCCTTACTCTCTCCCCCCTCCTCCCTCTTCTTCATTATCCTCCTCATCCTCCTCCTCCTGCTCCTCCTCCTCCTCCTCCTCCTCCTCGCCCTCCTCTGATATTTCCGCAAAGCTGCCATCCGATCTGTACGACACCCATGTTACACAAGCGTGTCAGTCGTCTGCCGCGTAACCGCGGGGGCAACTTTCAAGAGGGGGGTGGTCTCGGGTGGGGGGTGCACAGGCCCCCGGTCTCGCCCCCTCATCGCCGACCGGGGGGCCCGCTGGCCCACCCCACCGAGGAGCGTGCCGCGTCGCTCATCGGGGGGGCCGTCGCCGACTTGTCGGCGAGGTATCGCCGATTACAGGTCGACGCTTCCCCCCCCCCCCCTGAGCTGCCCCCTTCCCTACAGCCAGAGGAGAAAGCGGGCACCTGGGGGTTCGGAAGGGGCTCGCGCTGTTCCTCGGGTCCTCGCGTGGTTGTTCCTCTAGTCTTCCTCGTGCACCCAGGCTTCGTTCTTCATTAGGCGTTTCTTACTGTGAAGACATTATGGCTGGTGCCGCCGACCCAGAAGGACGACGACGACGATGACGACAACGACAACGACGACGCCGAGCTGATGACCCTGCCACAGGCTTGGGACATGTGGCGGGCGGTGGAGGGATGAGGACGAGGAGGAGGAGGAGGAGGAGGAGGTGGAGAAAGAGAATGAGGAGTAGGAGGAGGAGTAGGAGGAGGAAAAGGAGGAGGAGGAAAAGGAGGAGGAAAAGGAGGAGGAAGAGAAAGAGGAGGAAGAGAAAGAGGAGGAGGAGGAGGAGGCGGAGGAGGAGGAGGAAGCGGAGGAGGAGGAAGCTCAGCAGGAGGAGGAGGAGCAGGAGAAGGAGGAGAGCCGTCTGCCTCTGCTCCTTCTTTCAGCAGCCCGACGGTGTCGCCGCCCCTCGCTTCTGCTGTGGCCACGGCGCCGCCGCCGCCCTCCGTCGAGACTCCTCGGGGACGCGCCCCCGGGCCCGCGCGCACGCAGGCAGGCGTCGTCGGCGTCGGCGTCGCCGTCGGCGGCGGCGTCGCGGCGGCGGCGCGACGTGCGAGGCGCATCAGAACCCGCTCGGCGTCATCCTCGGCGGCTGCCTGGG